CTCGGGGCTCAGGCTGGCGGGCAGGGCACCGCCAGCGCAATCAAGCAGACAGGACAGGTGAGCGATGGAGAGAGAGGGGTCGCTGGGCAAGGAGCAGGGGCGGCCCAGCGGGTGGAGAAGGTGCCTGAGGGGTTTGGAACCAACCCTGCAGAAACCCAAGCTTGGGGAACTCTGACCCTGCCTCTCCCAGAATCACCCCAGCACTTCACACTGGATACCTCTTGCCCTGGGAGGGGGCTAACTGCCCCAGGCCTCAGCCCACCACCCAGCTCTGGGCTGGTGCCATCTGGAAAGGATCACCAGGCCACTTGGAGGGTGACTTGAGAGTCCCTGGCACCCCACAAAGCGCAGGAGACCTGAGAGCTAAGGCTGGGGTCAAATGTACCAGGTGGGGGAGGGAGGAAGCCATACCCTGAGGCTGGTGCATCCTGGGCATACAGAGCCCCTGCTGGTCCTCCTGGAAGGGCTGAAGGCAGGGCCCACAGACACGTGCACCCGGGGGGCACCGTGCCCGCCTCTTCAGGGCACAGTCCAGGCTCCCAGGACACACGGCTGCATCTGAGAAGAAAGCGGAGGCAGAACAGGGTCACAGCCAGCCTGACTCAGCCCCTGCACAGTAAGTAGGACTGTCCTGGCCGCCCCAACCCCTCCCTACAGAGCTGGCCAAGCCTGGCTCCGGCCATTGTTCTGGGCAGGCCCTTCCTCCCCTGCACCGGGAATCAGAACCATGAAGACAAACAGTCCTAACACTTATCGGAACTCTCTTGCCTCACTCCCTCCCCAGAGTCCACTTCCCTGACCTGAGCCAGCTCTCCACACAGGAACCGTCCCCTACCATCCAGAGAAAACTGAGCTCTCCCGGTTATGGCCTTGCAGCGCTCCAAGTGCCACCTCCAGTCTCAACCTGTCCTAGAGCGAGTCTCTCACCCCTGCCCAACCTGGGAGCCCTAGAGGGCGGGGCCCAGATCGCTCCCTCCCACCACCTCGGGGCTGTCTCCTATTTCAGGGCTGCCTCCCCACCCCACCCCCACCCCACCGCACCCCACCGCAAACCTCATCATGACATCCTACAGCCCTAGAGGGCCAAGCTGGGAGACAGCACAGGTCAAGTCACTGCCCCCACATCTAACCTCTGGCTTGTCCCCAGGGCACAGCCCAGCCGCTGGGGCTGGGGATACTTGCGACTGAGTCTGCCAGTCTCCAGGCCGGGGTCACTCCTGCAGCCACCACTGCCTGGACTGGGGAGGGCCTGGGACTACAGGCCAGCCCATTTCTAATTTGGGGCCCAGACCTCAGTGTCCTGTACACGTGACCAAGGCTCCCGTCCTGATGCTGGGGGGTGGAGGGCGGTGGCCCTCTCTGCCTCAGTTTCCTCTCTGGATGCAGAAGGTGAGTTGCCTCAAAGCTGGGGAATGTCTCGGGCTTCCCTGGTGGCACAGTGGTTGAGAGTCCGCCTGCCGATGCAGGGGACACAGGTTCGTGCCCCGGTCCGGGAAGATCCCACATGCCGCGGAGCGGCTGGGCCGGTGAGCCATGGCCACTGAGCCTGCGTGTCCGGAGCCTGTGCTCCGCAACGGGAGAGGCCGCGACAGTGAGAGGCCCGCGTACCGCAAAAAAAAAAAAAAAAGCTGGGGAATGTCTCAAGACCTGGGACACTGGCCCCATTCACGGCACAGCAGAGCCAGTGGAGCCAGGGGGAGACCCAGCAGAGCTGCCAGTGGTGTCTGGGGAGGTAGGGGTGGGTACATCTCGGAGAACCAGGACAGTCCCTGCTGCAGGAGGGTGACATGGGGCATCCGGGATGCCCGCTCTGTTCTTCTCCAGACTTTGGCTGGCCTGGCTTGGTTTCCTTGGTAACCTGACACCCACAGCCTCTTGGCCGTAGGCATCCCTTCAAGGAAGTTCCAGCAGCTCCTACAGCAGGTGGGCAAGTGGGCTGAGGTTGCCATCCCAGGGATCCCCACTCCAGCACAACCCGGGTCGGCAGGCGCCCATATCAGTGAGCTGGGCCCAGGGCTTGGGCTAGTTAAACATTAAGCCTGTGCCAGCTGGTCCGTCTGGACCCCACCCACCAGCTGGGCACCTGGGGAGCCAGGCAGCCCCGGCCCCTAGTGCAGAGAACCCAGAGTGCGCCAGAGCAAGGGTAGAGGCCTGAGTTCCAGAGCTGGCTCTGGGTTCTGGGTTCCAGGGGCCTCCCTCCACTCCCAGTCCCCCACCCTGGGAGGATGTGGCTGCTGCCCATTTAGCCCTGGGAAGGCCCCTGCTCAGACTCAGGGTGAAGGAGGAGGTCCCAGGAACAGCAGCAGCTGGAGAGTGCCTGGCACCCTGCCCCACATCTGGGTGCACACAAAGCTGATGAGCAGCTGGGGCAGCACCTGCCCACCCCAGAGGCTCAGTACTGGGACTATAATCCTGTTTCCTCAGGAGGCCCCACCCTGTATGCCCTGGAGCCAGGCCATCAGCAGACAGCCTCCACCATCCCTGGCCAGCCATGATCTGGCCCTCAGGCCTCCTTGGGAGCCTACCCTGGTGGTGCCAGGCCTCTGTCCAGGGGTGCTGTGGCCAGGAGGAGCCTGCCCTGCTCTGGCCTCTTGAGGCCACACATGCAGACCACACGCACTGCCCAGGTTAGCATCCCAGCGGCATCATACAGTGGTCACTTCTCTGTGCCTCAGTTTCCTCATCTGTAAAATGGGCTAAGAACAACACTTCTCCTATGGGGCTGCCAGGAAAAATGAGTGAAGTCATGGGTACGAAGTCTCCCAATTCTGCCACCTGGCAGATTGCATTTTGGGTTCTGGGTTCCTGCAGACCTTTGGAACCTCAGTGCCCACCTGGGGAGCCAGGAGCGTCTCCCAGGACCCTGGGCTCATCCCTCTCTGCTTCAATCTACCTTGGGGGGTGCCCTCCAACCCCAAGCACAGAAGACAGAATGGAGGGGCCCTGCAGAGCAGAGGGTGAGTGTGGAAACAGACCGTAAGCTCCTCCTGTCCCCACTGAGGCCAGAGCAAAACCCTAAGCCTGGGACAAGCTGTCAGATGCCCAAGGAAACTTCAGACCCCACCATGGCAGCAAAGCAAGGCGCATGTCCACCACCCGAGGCATAGGGACCGACCAGCACTGCGACTCCGACTCCAGGACAGACACCGGCAGTAAGGCCAGCAGGCACCCAGGGCCGGGCCCGCACCCGCGGTGCCCGGGACGCGCACACACAGAAACGCCCACGGGACAGACTCCAGGCCGCGGGACCACACAGAGAGAGCCCTCCTGAGACACCGACCCACCAGGCTCACGGACCCAGACAAAGACATGAAGCGAATCAACACCAGAAGCCGGCAGAAGCCCCATCCAGAGGAGCCCCTCGGCAGCCCGGTGCCGCGCCCTCCCCGCCGGGCCTGTTTTCCCGACCCGCGAGAGGCGGGGCCGGCGCGGTGGCTCGCAGGCTGGGCCTGCGGGGCCCGCGGGGCCTGCGAGGCCTGCGAGGCCTGCGGGTCCTGGCGAGGGCGGCGGCGGGGAGGATGACGGCGGGGCCGCGCGGATGACGGCGGCGCCGCGCGGCCGGACCCCCGCCCGGCGATCCCCGGCCCCGGGGCGCCCCGCGCGCGGCCTGCGCCCAGTGCACTCGCTCACCCGGGCGGCGGGCGGCCGCACCGCGCAAGGCCGCGCCGAGGACGAGGCCAGAGAGCAGCAGCCGCAGCAGCCGCAGGTGCCGCGGGGAGGGCGGAGGGACAGGCGTCGCCATCCTTCAGCGCCGCCGCCGGGGCAGCATGGCACCGCGCGGCCCGGGGCTGGGCACGGGCTCCGGGCGCCGCGTCGGGGGAGGCGGCGGAGGCGGAGGAGGAGGGGGCGGAGGAGGAAGAGGAGGCAGAGGCCGAGGAGGCGGAGGATGAGGAAAAGAGGCGGCGGCGGCGGCGCTGACGCTGCGGCAAAGGATCCGGGACGGAGGCTAGGCAGCGAGAGGCGCGCGTACCGGGAGTGCGCCTGCGCGCTCCACCTGCGGGGGCGGGACGACGCCGTGAGGCTGCGCCCCTTCTCCCTCCCTCCAATTCTGCTCCCCTTTCCACCCACCCATCCAGCCAGTCCTCCGGGTGCTTCCACCACTGCCGCCTGTGCTGCCGGGGATCTTCTCTAGGCTAGGGACTGGTTGGGGATGGGTTTCCCCGGGATGCGCTTCCCCCGGGCCCCGTCCCTCTCGGGCTGCTAACTCCCACCCCACCCCCACCCTCCTGGACCGGAGGACCTGCCTGGACTTGGAAGGACACCAGGCGCACACAGCTGGACGGGTGCACAGAGATGCCCAGGTGTGCGCAAAGACCCACCAGGCATTCAGACACACTGTGAAGGCAAACACACACGCACAGAACGAGGTCGGTGCCGGTGGCCACGGTGGTTGCAGTGGGACGACCGCTCTCAGTGAGGCCACCAGGGGGCAAGAGTGACCTGGAGCTACTGATGACAGCCAGCTGAGAGCTGTCCACGGTGCCCAGGTGACAGACTTTTAGCTCCGGGGTGCCCCACGACAGCAAGCACTGTGATGCCCCCTCTTACCCCCCACCGGCTGCCTCCTGAGAGTACCCGCACCCCATCCCACCTGGAAACCTCCCAGGCTCACGTTACCGAGAGAACAATTCCCCGGGGGCGGGGGGGGGGGCAGCACGGTGCTTCCTTTCAGCCCTTTGTGTTTCAAAACTTCGAAGATGGGGCTGGCTGCCCTCAGGTTTGTGAAATGGCTCAGAAACCAGCAGAAGTGTACGTGGTGCGTGCGTTGGGCAGGGGGGTGATGAGCGAACAAGAACCGCCATCCTCCCACACAAGGCATGACCAGACAAAAATAGTGTCTGAGCTCACTTCCCAGAAAGGGGGAGGCGGCGGGGAGATGCAGCCAAGACCACGCGTTCCCACACTGGAGAAAATAGTGCTTAGGGAAGGGGGGTTGCAGGAGCGGCAGGTGGGGGTGGCTGATGTCTCTTGAGGACGCAGAAAACACCTGGGCAGCAGGTACGCGACGTCTGGTGTGATTGCACGGCTTGGTGCCAGAGCCAGGCTCCTGGCAAGGGTCATCCTTCTGAGCAATGGGCCCTTCGTCCATCTTGGCCCCGATCTCCACATCCGCCGACACCACCTCCTGTTGAGGGTTTGCCCCCCACCCCCCCAGGTCTTGAGTACTGCCTGCACTCTAGGCAGCTGCCTTGCCCACTCACTCTCCTGCCTGCCATTCGCACCCACACCCCAGGCCAGCTCGAGGCCGGGGCCCAGACTCCAGTCTGGCCTAGGTCACTGCTGCAGATCTGCCATTGCTGCAGGGGCTCTGCTGGCCAGAGAAGACTCAAGGGACTCAGGGACTCTTTTAGGCCAGCCAACTGGCAGCTACTCCAGGCCACAACCGAGGAGCAAGAGACCAGGGTCAGTCAACACCACCCCAGGTCTGGGCCCGGAGAGGAAGGAAGTAGAGACAACCGGGGTCCTCCCTCGGGGCCGGGAGGGGCCTGTGCAGCCAACACAACTGCGGGGAGGGCTTCCCTGGCAGCGCAGTGGTTAAGAATCCGCCTGCCGATGCAGGGGACACGGGTTTGAGCCCTGGTCCAGGAAGATCCCATGTGCCGTGGAGCAACTAAGCCCGTGCACCACAACTACTGAGCCTGCGCTCTAGAGCCACAACTACTGAGCCCGCGTGCCACAACTACTGAGCCCACGTGCCACAACTACTGAAGCCCGCACGCCTAAGAGCCTGTGCTCCGCAACAAGAGAAGCCACCACAGTGAGAAGCCCGTGTGCAGCAGCGAAGACCCAACGCGGCCAAAAAATTTTTTAAAAACTGTGGCGAGGGAGGGCCGGCAACAGCGGAGACGCCCCACCCCACGGACATTCTCTCCACTGCTCTATGAAAAAATTTTTACTACAAAATGTTTACAAGTAGGCGCTGGGCTGGCTCCCAACTTTTGGGTTCTGACCCTCCCCCTAAAACCCAAGACTGGGGGTGAGAGGGGATTCTCAGGACTCCATTCCCTGGGGACCCAGCCCCGCATTCACAGGCTGAGGGCTGCGGGGTGTCTGAATCCCCACCCCCAGTAAGAGGAGGAGGCACACTAGGCCCTGCGATGAAGCCAAGGCCGGAGTGGGCAGGAGGGCGCTGGAGCCGGCTGCCTTCGCCGATCCGGCCAAATGTGGGCGAGGGCGCCAGAGCCTTGCTCCCGGGCTTCATTAGGGACAGAGATGTTGAGAGTGGGGTGGGGTGAGGCAAGGGGGACTTGGGGCTGGGGCAGCTGCCCCCAACCCGCCCCTAGATGGCGCTCGGCGACTTGGCAGAGCACGCCCGGTGCAGCAGAAGGACGAACGCAGCCAGGGGCATGGCGGCGAAGAGCAGAAGGAGGACGACCCAAGAGCTGAAGTCTGTGCCCTTGCGCAGCCCGGGCGGGTCGGCGGGGATCAGGTTGGTCAGGTTCAGCATGTATCCGAGCGCCCAGCCAACAGCGGTGTCCCCGGCCTACGGGCGGGAGGCGCGGCCTCAGCCCAGGCTCAGCCCGGGAGGCCCCGCCCCTCCGCGCTCGGCCCCGCCCCCCTGCGCGCGGGCCCACCGGCTCCCACCTTCCTCTGGAAGGTCACGCCTCCGAAGGTGCGCTCGTCGAAGCCGTAGCCGCGGCACAACAGCTGCTGCACGAATGTGGCCCCAGCGCAGTAGTCCGGCAGGCGGGCCCGCTCCCCCGGCGCCCGAGCCTGCAGCTGGAATGCAGGTGGGAGACTGTAGGGCCAGCGGCCACCGGGAGGTCTCTCCCCCACCAGGCACAGAAAGGCAATTCAGGGCTGGAGAGCCCCCAGCAGGTCCCAGAAAGAACAAGGCTGAGGGGGCCTCCCCCAGGCAGAGCTCTTTCCTCAGGGCAGAACAGCGTGACTTCCGGATGGCAGCAAGCACCTGTGCCTGGGAGGGGGACCTCCAGGGGACAGCAGGGGTGGCCACGCAGGGGGCAGAGGGCTACAGCAAACTTGGCGATGGTCGGGGTAACAGGAGAAGCTCTAGGCTTGACCCCAGGCCCCTGGGCTTGCCTCCCGATCCCCACTTTTCCAGCATCCCCAAGTCTGTCTGAGACTAGCCACGAAGAGGACAGGATGGGGCCTCCGTCACCACTGAGCCCCACCCCAGAGACACTCCAGTGCCTCTCCCGGAGTCACCTCTTCCTCTGCATGCCCGAACCCCTCCATCCTTCACCTGGAGCCAGTGTCCAGTCCATGGTAGCAGCCAGAAACCTGGGGGTTTCTCACTCCCCCCCCAATTCTATCTGCCGAGTCTCCCCTGAGTCCTCTGCTTCTCCCCTGCTTGGCTGTTCTCCCCCCACACGCTCCCGGCCTCGCTCCTCCCCACCCTGTCCACCCCATGCTCCCTGCGGCCCCAGGGCCTTTGCACTGGCTGTTCCCTCTGCCCTCCTGATCTTGGTTCTATGGTCAGGCCTCAGGGAGGCTTCTGCAATCTCATCTGGCTTCCGGCCTCCTTGCCGTAGCCTGGCCACTTTTCAAGTCTGATTAACAGTGTATCCCCCACTGCGGTGGGCATTCTGGGAGGCCTAAGACCCCCTCTACTCATAGAGCAAATGAATGATCGGGACGCGTGACACTGGCTGGCTGAGCCCCCTGAGCAGCGCTGGAGGAAGGGGGTGCAGGCCTCACCTCACTCCACGTCTGGTTGCAGATGGTGACCACGGCCGCCTCCAGTTGCTGCAGGGTTGCCACGGGCAGCCCCATCACAGTTCTCAGGAAGTCCACCGTGTAGAAGAAAGCAGAGAAGGCCTGTGAGGGGGGTACAGTCACACCGTGACCAGACCCCAAGCACTTCAGGGCACGCGCCCGGCCCCCCACCCCCAGTCCTCTGGACTCACAATGAACTTTCCAGCCAGAGGGGGCTGGAAGATGCCGTTGAAGGAGCATCTAGAGAAGCGGCAGGAGGAGAAGTTAAAGAGCTCAGAGATGAGGTCACGGCACAGGGCAGGGTCGCTGCTTCCCGACAGGCTGACCTTGGCGCTTCTGTTGAAGGTCTGGGGCCGCTGGGCTGCAGTGCATGGCGACTCATACACATCCTGGAGCCGCACATGAGTGGAATAGCCCTTCGGCCAGCAGGGGTGGAAGCCGTGGGTCTGGGCAGATGAGAAGGGTGTATGTGGCAACACCGCCACTCCAAGCACTGCCCACCATCCCCACCCTAAGACCCTAGGAGGGCCTCCCCAGAGGACCAGCTGATAAATCTCCCACAAGTTCCACTTTGGCAACATCACTTCTGAGCTCAGGAGCAATCCTTGGCTCCCCCTTCTTGCTGGACAAAAAGCAACCCCCTTAGGCAGGCAGTCCAGGTCCTCTGAGATGTGGCCCTGGCCCTCCTTCCTCCCCAGCCAGCCACTCACCAGGCTCACCTCCAGCCCCTGGGCCTTTGCCCATGCTGGATCCCTGCCCACCTGTCCTTACAGCTGATGAAAGCCCGACTTTGGTTCCTGGAGAAGCCCCCCTCAGTATGGCTGCTGTTCAGGCTCTGCTCTGGGCCCTTGGCCCCCACTCCCCCTGGCTGCCTACCTCCAGAAGGACTCAGTGGAGGGTACCTGGAGTGCACTGGCCAGCAGCCTCCAGAGGACCTGGTCACGGCCATAGCAGAGGAAGCTGTGGGTGTAGACGCGGTGGTGCTGGCCGTAGAGCCGCAGCTGGACCTCGTTAGCTGGATCCTCAGCTGGGCTGGCTGTCTCGAAGGTGATCTGTGTGGAGGCGCCCCCCAGGTCCATGGCCCCCAGCGTCCCCTTCTTTGGCCGGAACCACTGGCCCACCCAGCCATACTGTGGGAAGTGGAGGTTGAGGTCAGCCAGTGGGTGGGTGCCCACACCCCCGGCTCATCGGGCTGGCCACCGGGCCCACCTTGATAAAGTTCTCCAGCAGGTAGTTGGCGGTCACCCAGCTAAACACCCCCTCATCCTGGGCTGAGAGGATGCGGGCACCACGGAAGTCAAAGGGATACTGGGTCAGCGTCTGCGTCGCGGCCGCGAGCACGTTGGCCGCAGCCTCTGGACTGGTTAGGCTGTGACACAGGGAGGACTCTGAGGGGCATCTTCCCCAGATGGCCGTGATCCTGCTGCTGGGGTGCACAGCCAGCCGAGGGGGCCCCAGCCCAGGGCTGCTGCGGGGGACATGCGGGGCCCACCCTGTGCTGAGGCCGTCGTGGTCCCCGGGGCCAGGAGGTCAGGGGATGGCACACTCACTTGAGCAGGCGCATGCCCGCTGTGGCTCCCAGGTAGAGGGGCGTGCCCGCGTGTCTCTCCTTGGGCACATCCCGAAGCGCCTGGTTCAGGCATTCCACAAGACTCTGCCCAGCCCCAGAAGGGTTGTCAGCGTAGCTAGAGATGCCCCCACCTAGAGGGAGGCAGCAAGATGGGCCTAAGCCTGGTGGGCAGCCTCTAGGTGGACCATAGGCCAGCAGGGCGGGGGCGGTGGGGGAGGGGCTTGTGCTCCTAAACCAGGTGGCAGCTGAGACCAGTTCAGAGACAAAAGGGCCCACCCATGTGCCACCCACAGTCTCTGAGCTGCCACCTGCCCAGTGGATGTGCACACAGGTGGCAGGACAAAGCACTGGCTATTGTCAACCCAGCCTAGCCTGCCCAGGGGCCTGCCTGGGTGTGCCCACTGGCTCCTCGGAACCCCTCCTGCCCCACCTGGGATGTAGAGGCCAGTCTTGGGCCAGAGAGGGCCCAAACCTTCCAACTGTTTCCTGGGGCTTCTCTTTTAGGAAAAGAAGGGGACCCAGACTTCTTTTCTAGGAAAAGAAGGGACCCAGCCTGTCTTTGGGGGAGCTCCTGCAGCTCCTGCCTGGATTGGGCCCCACCTGGCATCAAGCAGAGGGTTCTGATGGCTGGTGTCTGCAAAGGCTAAGGCCAGAGAGGGCTCCTGAGGCCCTACAGTGAGTGGGTATCCAGGCCAGGGGGCACCTAGTGCTCAGGGGACCCTTACCACGCACATCACAGGAGCTGTGCTGGCCCACGATGCCTGTGTCGTTCTCTTTGTGCGCTGGCCACTTGTAGATGAACATGGATGTGTGGGAAGAGCCGGCATCCAGAACGATGCCATACTGGGGGTGGGGGGAGGGTCAGCCTCAGGAGGGGCGCGGGGCCTGAGGCCATGCTCTTTGACTCTCTCAGCCCTCCAGCCCACCCCACCCCACCCTGTGTCAAGGGTGGAAGCTTCAGAATGAAGTTCTGAGGCTCGGAGAAGGCCAGGGACAGTCACTGTGACACAGCTTGGTTGGGGGCAGAATGGGAGTGGAGGTGGATGGCCCTCTGACTGCAGGAGCCTTCCTGGCAAGGGCAAACTGAGGGGCGGGATCAGAGTCAGGGGTCCCGGGACCACCTTGGAACCTTGCCCGGGGGGCATGAGGTCCCCAGGCTGCAGGAGAAAAGCTAGCTTCAGGAAGCGCTGCTCTTCCTTCCTCCCCTCTGTCCCTATCTCTCTGACCTCAGCCCAACCTGAGGATGTGGAAGCGAGGGCCCCAGGGGGAAGGCTGGACTGAGGCTGTGCGTGGGCCTGCGATAAGCAGACACCCCCTCCCTGGGCCTCAAAGGCAGGGCCAGAGAGAGCTGCTCCGGCGCCACACGGGCCTTCCAGGCAGGTCGGGCGGGTGATGGTCAGCACCCAGGTTGCAAGAGCCACTTTCCAGCACCTGCCCCCAGGGGCCTGGATTCCAATAGGAGGAGCCGGGCTGAAGAGCGTGCCCTCCTGAGCCGGGAAGGGGGCCGCTCTGGTCCTCTCCCTGACACAGGGAACTCCAGCAGCAGCAGGCCAAGTGGCCCGCCCCACCGCACCCCTACCGGGTGGTCGCCCTTGGCTACAGGGCACCCACCCCAGCGATCTCCATCCTGGGCTCCTGGGCCTTAGAGCATCCACCATCCACCCACGCACCAAGCCGGCCCACGAGCCCAACAGAGGGTTAGGGAGGGTGGGCTCCTGGAGGCTGAGTCTGGCGAGGATGCGTGGGGTGATCAGGCCTAGCCCGCTCCGACCCCTTCAGGACCAGCCAGGGCTGCTCCCGCACTGTGGGAGCCACCCACCGGAGAGGCTGGGGAGGAGTCCCTGGGCCCCAGCGCCTGTCGCACCCCATCTGGGCCAAACCCCGAGGCGATGCCTCCCTGGAGGCCGGACATGTTGGGGGCGCGGGCCGGGCCGCGGCCTGGGGCGCCGCGGGGGTGCGGAGAGACGCCCCTCGGCCGCGCCGCGAAAGGCTCCGCGGTGGGCGCGGCGAGCGGAGAGCTCCCGGGACTTCGGCCTCCCGCACCGCGTCCCCCGGAAGCGCCGCTGCCGCGCCCTGGACCGGGACCCGGAGCGCTGGTGAGGGGCCTGGGACCTCATCCCGCCGGGCCGGGAGCGGAGCGCGCGGGGTCCCAGCTGCCACGCGGGCGCAGCCTGGCCCTGCTCGGTCCGAGCCTCCCCGCCCGGCGCCCCGGCCCAGCCAGCAGCTCCCGGACTGCGCCGGGTTGCCAGGGCGCTCCGGCGTGCACCTTGAGGGCGGGCGGCTCCCAGATGTCGCGGGTGGGGACACACAGCAGCAGGAGGCCCGCGAGGCCCGCCGCGGCCAGCAGCAGCGGCGGCAGCAGCGACAGCGCCTTCCCGGCCATGGGGGCGCGGGGCGGACCAGGCGTTGACGGCGCGGCGGCGGGGAGCCGGGACCGCGGGGTAGGCGCCTGGGGCGGGGCGCGAACCGGCCCACGGCTGCCACGCCCACTGGCGGGCCGCCCCGCCCACCTCCCGCTTGGCTCCGGAGCACAGGTGAGAGACGCGGCGGCTGAGTCACCCGCGCTGCCCCTCCCGGCGCCCTGGTCTCAGCCCAGGCGCCCTGAGGCTATGTCCCACCTTCCTCCTCCCTGTCCGCTCAGCCCCAAAGATTCACCCCTTCTGACCTGTCCCCCTGACCTGTAAGTGCCTGCCGACCACGCTCTGCCTCTGGGCACTCCGGTCCAGCAGGACCTAGAGAGCCCCCAGCCCCTCCGACCTTAGGGCACGGTGGCAGAAGGCCTGGCCTGGGGGTGGGCTGGGCTGCCTCCCAAGCAGGCTTGTTCCAAGGGTCATGCCACTGCAGAGCCGTATTTCCCCTGGCCTGGTCCTGAAGGAAGGAGACAACGCCAGCTACAGGAACCACGTGGGCTCCCGGCTGGGTCCCTGCCGTGCCCTCCTGGCAAGAAAGGGCTGGCCAGCCTGCGATGCTGACCCAGTCCTGGGCTGCATGGCAGGGTACCACCCTGGTCAACCCCCAGGACACTGAGCTGACCCAGGCTGAGCCTGCTCTGGAGGTGCTGAGACCTCAAAGCTGAGTGCTGAGCAGGGTGAAGCCAGACCTACTCCACACAGTTCCAAGGTGACAGATGAGGGCACAGGCAGAGAGAGGGACAGGATGGCCACAGCCACACCATGCCCAGAAACAAGAGAACCCACGCTCAGTCTGGCCCACCCCCCATCCCGGTGGCACCATTTGCCTGGAGGACCCAGAAGCCTGGGCTGTGGAGGCCAGAGGCTTCCCAAGGAGGGAGCAGGGGCCTCTGCACACAGAGCCTCATCCTGCGGATGAGGGAGAGGGTCCCCCTTGTCAGCACCCAGGTCCCTGCACACTGGGCTAAGTGCTCAGCTGGTCGCAGGACCCAGCTCTGCCCTTCCACCCCATGAAATGCCTGGCCACTATGCTTGGAATCCCCATGGGCCCTGTGTGCCACCCTGGCCAAGCATCACCCCTTTCTCTGGCCAGGGGTCACCCCCATTTTGTGCAAAATAGGAATTCCAGCAGCAGGGAGCCATGTGGCAAGACCACCCAGGAGAGCCAGCAGACGGAGGCGGGGTTAGGGGAACCAAAAGGACAGACTTTGATGGGCACAGGGTCTGGGCAATGGCCCGGCCGGCTGAACCGGCAGGGACGATCGGGATCGCTGGGACGGCTGCCCAGGCTGAGGGTCTGGTGTCTCAGGCCCAGCAAAGGAGCCTTTCTTCCAGCTCAGGACCCCAGTGGGAAGGGTGGGAGACCCGGGACGTTGCTGGGCCTCCCCAGCCCCGCCGGGCTGGGTCCCAGCAGAGAGACACTGGGTGTGGCAGGCCAGCACAGGGCTCCAGGCCCCAGCTGTCCTTCCCTTCCCCCAGGCCCTTTCTTCCACCCCAGAAAGTTCAGAGGAGCCAGAGGCCTGCAGTTTAGGCTGAAACGTAAGAGACAAAGGCAGCCCAGAGAGAGGCCAGCACGTGAAAGGTGGCAGACACTGGTGCTGCCAGCCGGGCCCCGCCCCCTAGGCCCAAGGGAGCCCCGCCAGACCTGAGAGGAGGGGTCCTGGAGAACTGGCCCCTGCCCTGGTGCTCGCGGCAGGGGCCCAGACTAGCCTAGGGGAAGAAGAAGGGAAGAAGCCAGGGGACGTGGAACAGCCGCGGCGAAGACTGGGAGGGACACCAGGGCGGGAATGCCCCTCTCGGCCCGGAGACTTCCTTCGATGGGACCCTGGAAACTGGGCTGGGAGTCAGGCGGCAGGGAGGCCCTGGCAGGAGCCCACCGGCAGGAGGGGACTCTGGCGGGGCAGCCCCAGGCCTTGGGCCTCCGGGAACCTCAGCAGGGGTGGGGCTCCAGATGTGCTGCACATGGCTTGGCCCTGGCTCCAAGCGGAGGCATGTGGCTGCAGAGAGGTGCCAGGAGAGGCCCTCGGGAGAGGGGTCCTCAGAACCCTCCTCCCCCCCGACAGGATCCAGACCTCCCAGGGGGGCCGGTTAAGGTCTTGGCTGCCCCTGGCTCAGTCTCTCCTTCGGAAGCCACAGTGTCTTGTGGCTGAAACATCTCCTTCACTCACTGCGCCCTTTCTACACGTGCTCATCAAGTCATTCAACAGACGTTTGCCGAGCACCTCTTATGGGGCCAGAGGCATGCCAGGCTCTGTGCATGCACAGTGAGCGAGGGATGCTCACGGACTCCACGGCATGTGGGGGGACCCACCACCGGTCCAGGGGAGAGCAGGCTTGTCAAAGGCTCCCTGGGTCAGGGGAGGCCCGTGCTGCCTCGTGAGATGCAGCAGACAGACAGGAGAGCAAGTGCGGCACACAAGCCCTGTGGAAAGAATCACCGTGCAGGAACAGGCATATCAGAGAGCCTTCGGTTGTCCTGACCAGAGGTGTCTACTCTCTTGACTTTTGTACTTGCTACTCCCTTGCTTTTCTTTTTATAGTTTTCCATCTCTCTAAATAATATATTGTGCTGTTTCTTCTGGTTGTTTCTTTTTTTAGAATTTTATCTTTTATTTATTTTTGGCTGTGTTTGGTCTTCATTGCTGCATGAGGGCTTTCTCTAGTTGTGGTGAGCGGGGGCTACTCTTGGTTGTGGTGCGTGGGCTTCTCATTGCGGTGGCTTGTCTTGTTGCAGAGCACGGGCTCTAGGCACGCAGGCTTCAGTAGTTGTGGCACCCAGGCTCAGTAGTTGTGGTGTGCAGGCTCAGTAGCTTTGCGGCATGTGGGATCCTCCCGGACCAGGGCTTGAACCTGTGTCCCCTGCATTGGCATGCGGATTCTTAACCATTGTGCCACCAGGGAAGTCCCTTTCTTTCTTTCTTTCTTTTTTTATACTGGAATACTGTTCTGGAATTTGCTTCTTTCACTCCCATTGTTTTTTTGTGTTTTTGTTTGTTTGTTTTTTTGCAGTACGCGGGCCCCTCACTGTTGTGGCCTCTCCCGTTGTGGAGTACAGGCTCCGGACGCGCAGGCCCAGCAGCCGTGGCTCACGGGCCCAGCCGCTCCACGGCATGTGGGACCCTCCCAGACCGGGGCACGAACCCGCATCCCCTGCATCGGCAGGCGGACTCTCAACCACTGCGCCACCAGGGAAGCCCTTCCATTGTATTTTTGAGTCAGCCCTGTTGCTGCATTATCCTTTTCAGCTGTGAGTGTGTCGGGGGTCCTGGCTTCAGGCTGTTTTCACTAAATTGCTCCTGTGCACATTTGCACACGGGCAAGCCTTTCCCTGGGGAGTAGCCTAGGAGCTGATGACCAGAGCACACCTGTGTGTTCAGGTTCACCTGCAAATAACTGTACTGTTTTCAGGATGGTGGCGCCACCTGGCGATCTCAAGAGCACACACCACCACTTTGGTTGGTATTGTGCAACTCTTGGCTTTCTCTAGTTGCGGCGAGCAGGGGCTACTCTTTGTTGTGGTGTGCGGGCTTCTCATTGCGGTGGCTTTTCTTGTTGCAGAGCACGGGCTCTAGGCACGTGGGCTTCATTAGTTGTGGTTCGTGGGCTTCAGTAGTTGTGGCTCACGGGCTCTAGAGCGCAGGCTCAGTAGTTGTGGTGTACGGGCTTAGTTGCTCTGCGGCATGTGGGATCTTCCCGGACCAGGGCTTGAACCTGTGTCCCCTGCATTGGCAGGCGGATTCCTAACCACTGCGCCACCAGGGTCGTCCTCTCTTTGAGCTTTTAATGTCATTTCCTTGATTACTGAAGAAATGGAGTCTTTCCTGTCTTCCATGAGGCATCTTTTCAAATCTTTGTTCATTCTCTAGGGATTGTTTATCTTTTCCTTATAGATTTGCAGGAATTCTTTATGTATACTGGGGACATGAGTCTTTTGCAGTGAAATCATGGAAGGGCTTGATTAGTCCAGATGTATCCGTTTTCTGCTCTATCATTTGCTCCTTTTGGGTCCTGTACGCATAATCTACCATGAGGTATTTATCCACCGCTAATGGATTGGCGTAATCTTGTTTAAAATATCCTGTTAGTGGGAATTCCCCAGTGGTCCAGTGGTTAGGACTCCACGCTTCCACTGCAGGGGGCACGGGTTCAGTCTCTGGTCGGGGAACTAAGATACTGCATACCGTGCAGCAGGGCAAAAAAAAAAAAAATCCTGTTAACATCTGCTTAATTTCTGTAGCATATGTTGTTATTTTTTTAATTGCTCACATCATTTTATTTCTGCCTTTTATCTCTTTTATCCTTCACTAATCCAGGCAGATGCTTCTGCACTTCGTTAGTTTTCTCAATCAAGTTTTTGCCTTTATGGATGTTTTCTATAAAGCGTGTTTGTTTTCTATTTCACTAATTTCTTCTCTAACCTTTATTATTCTTACTCGAATATAACTTTATGTGAGCAGGAGTTTTCGTGTCTCTTTTGTTCGGATGTTCCCCAGCATCAAGAAAAGTGTCAGGGAATTCCCTGGTGGTCCAAGTGGTTAGGACTCCACGCTTTCACTGCCAAGGGCCCGCATTCAATCCCTGGTGGGGAAACTAGGATCCCACAAGCCACGCAGCGTGGCCAAAAAAAAAAAGTTAAAAAAAAGTCAGGTACATATATATACTAAATAAAAATATTTTAATATAATGTGTTATAATTTCTTTCTTCT